TTTTCTGGTGAGTTTTTAAGCGATTTTTTTGTTCTCTGTAAATGAAAGGGTGTGTGTGTGTTTTGTGTAGTATAAATGAAACACGCAGTCAAGGTGGGCCGATGTGACGTCGTATCGGACCTATCGGTCAATAAGTTGAGTAGTATGAAGTTTTGGTTTAAATTAATAAGTCTGAAACCCAAAGCCTTTGGATGAGATGGTTTGGGTCTCTTCCAGCTTAACCAGTGGTCTCGTGTTCGAGCCTTGGGAATGCAGCAGTGTTAAAACTCTTGAGGGAGAGTTTTGCCGCCCTTGTGATCTTACCCGGCTCGATTCCGGAATAATCGGTTCCCCTGTGGATCAGGAAAAGGTCCCTATACCCAAAAAAAAAAAAAATTAATAAGTCTGAAAGTTTGAATGGAGGGATTTGTTGGGGGGTTTTTTCTTTATAAAGGAATCGTTCAAAGAAAGGAATCCCAGATTTTGGTGGTGGGTCCCACGAGTTGGAGATGTTGACGGGGTACATAAATAAATACATATGTACACACACACACATCGCATCCAGCATGAAACTCTTGTGGAAATTTAGGTGAAGTCAAACTTAGATTTATACTAATTTTTATGTTTTAATTCTCAATTTTTGTAATCATTTGGATTTGATTATATGCAAGTAGGTATGTATAAATGGGGCAAATTCGGCTCGTCCTATTCAGGGACATTGATTTTCATATTAGTCGAGCCGAGTTGAACCTTCTCATACTCGAATTTGCCCTCGAGCTTTTATCGAGCCGAATCGACAAAATTGAGTCTATATTAAATGTTAACAAAATTACGTGACATTTTCTCTTCATTAATGTTAACAATTTTGAACGGGTCAAATTTATTAGAGTATAAGACATATTTATGTTCTTTTATGTAAAACAAAATTTTAGAATTGAGTAACAATTTTAGGCCAAGTATAAATACGAAATTGGGACTCTTTGTTACACACTTATTCATTATGAACATTCTATTTTCCTCCCTCTCGACTTTCTCCTCATTCTCTCAAGAACACACAATAGCTTTATACGGATTTTTCAATTTTCTAGTTGATAATGAAGTTTGATGTTCATTTTCTTTGATTTTTGTATCATAACAGTAATGAACTTAACTCGACGAGCCTTAATTGAGCTCGTGCTAGAAGTCGAGCTTAGAGTTGTTTGTTTTGTATAATAATTAATAACTCTATATACATTACATGCACCTATGTAGTTACCAATGTTCTAAAAATCGGCCTAGGTGGCGCCTAGGCTAGGCGGCGGTCCGCCACCGCCGATTTGGTAAAATTGGCCATAAAAATCGGCCAGGCGAGCTAGGTGGGGCTAGGCGGGCCTAGGCGGAGCTAGGCGGGCCTAGGCGGAACTAGGCAGCCTCGGCGACTACGCGGTTTCGGCAGGATTAGGCGGCTGAGGCGAGTTCTCGGCTTTTTTGACACATATATTTTTTTTAATTACTAAACGATGAAATGACGTCGTTTAATTTAAATGTAAATTAAAAAAAAATGGGCTTAATTACACTTAATGGCCAAAGAAATCAAACCCATTAAACACTACATCTCGTAATAAGCAGAAGCAGAAGAGAAGAGAAAAGAATACATCACCAATGTGTGCGTGCATGTCACATAAACGGAAAACATATTAACATGTGTTCGCCGTGTGTAAGGGAACATTACTGTATACAGATATTGTACAAGTGTTTTAGTAACAAGAATATATATTTATTAAAACAATTTAGCACTTATAACATTGGCAATAGTTTTACTGTTTTTTTCTTTAGTACTGAAAGAATCATGATTGTATTTCACAGGGCATACATAATGGTTTAGGAAAAGAGTGGTGGTATCAAACCAACTACTCACACGCATGATGGAGCAAACAATAAATAATATGAAGACGAACTCTATATAGTGATTGTATTTATTTTAATTTACATTAAATTTGGTGCTCCATATATTGGTATTGCCTATTAGTTCAATATTATTAGGCGTTAAAATCTTGAATAAATTATTCGGCCAAATAATCACAAACTTTTTAATAAATTACTTTCATTCAAGTTATTTGTTGTATATTATTCTCGAAATTTAGTCCAAAATGACTGTCCGTTTAAATTCAATATTTACATTATTAAAACAGCAAATTTGGGTAGTCAAATTACACATCAAGTCCATGTATATAGAAAGTTGGCTCGACTATGGAGTCAACTGTTGGCTTCATAACAAAATCGTGATAATTCATGGTAACTTTTTTTTCAGGGGTGGAAGCTTACAAGGAAACCCCTAACTGTTAAAAATGGAAACACACGACTTTTGCAACTGAAAAGCACGACAAAAAGAGATTCATTGTATGTCAAATCTTGGCCTTGAAACAAATTAATGAGTCAATTTTAAAGGAACACGAGCGCTGTAATTTTAGGAAAATTAGCTGCAAAGCGGATGGAGAATCATGATGAGGTCTATAAATAAAGTAGTCCGGTTTTGAGACTCATGCATGCCTTTGTTTTTTAATTCACTTTACCCATAATTTTTATGCTTGACTAATTAGTTTAATAAAATATAAATAAATATATTAGTCAAGTTTTGAGACTCATGATTTTGGGTTTTTTTTTTTTACTTTATCCTTTAGTGTTAACACTTTTATCATTTGATTTCCCTGTTTAAATGATGGAAAATAAAGGTCATATTCCTTTACCCACAAGATTTGAACACCTTGTATGATATAGCACTCATAATAGCTTGCCATATCGGTGAAACTAATTAAGTCGGGTTAATCAGTCCATGGGAATCTCAACTATGTGACAGGGTTCGGCTTCATCAAGAAACTCGGTGTGATAGCTTGAGGGACAAGTCGGTCATAACTGAAAAGTAAGGAGTCGACCTAACCTGAGAGGTCGATTAGAACAACGGCTGTGACGGGGGGGTTCTAAGGCTCGCAAGTGGTTGGTTAACGACCTGCTAAAAGATGTGGAGGATAGGTCAAGAGGTCGATACTACGACCTACAGATTTGGAGGGATACAAAATCGAACTAATATGGCAAGTGTATCTTTCTTAGGGGTGAAAATTGTAATAGACGTATTATACTAGGAAAACGAGATATGTAAATATCTCTTTCCTAAGCAATTAAGTAGCATGGGAATTATGACAACCTCTTTTAATAGGAGGTCCTAGGTTCTTAAATATGATACTGTAGGCAATTAAATTTTGAGCCAATAAAATGACGAAAAGTGTCAAATTCCATGTCAAAATCAATTTAATAATTTTCTATTTTATTTGGAAAATTAATCAAATTTTAATTCCTAAATTAAATAGTTAATTAATTGATTATTTAATATATATTGTTGGCCAATTAAAGAATGCCACATATATATTTTTGAAGGCCAATTAAAGAATGTCACATGTCATTTTCTTGGAGAGAAAAATAAATATTTATTTCTTTTAATAATTATTAAAGAGATAAATAAATGAAAATTCATGGACCAATCAAATTGAAGTCTTCTTTTTCAAGACTCTCTCTCCTAATTATCTCTTTAAATAATTATTATGAGATAAATATTGGAAATTATGGACCAATCAAATTGAAGTCTTCTTTTCCAAGACTCTCTCTCCAACACCTATAAATAGGGCTCTCCCTAAGGTGAAAAAAATGACAATTCATATTCAAGTTCCAAGTTCAAGAGCTCTAGAGAATTCTCTCCACAAAATTCAAGTGTTCTTGAAGATCCAAAGGCGTTCTTGAAGATTCGAAGGAAGATTCAAGCACGTTCAAGCCCAAAATCGACGTTCAATCCGGAAACAAGCTGTCAAGCCTCCGAATTGCGTTATTAAAGTTCAAGTGTTTTGAAGATTCAAAGGCGTTCTTGAAGATCCGAAGGAAGATTCAAGCGCATTCAAGCCCAAAATCGAGGTTTAATCCGGAAACAAGCTGACAAGCCTCTGAATTACGTTATTCAAGTCAAGACCGGCGTAGAGAAGATCAAAATCAACTTTGCGGCGAAGACCAAGGATTCGTGTTCTTCACGTTCTTGGAAAATCACGACGTTCGATTCGAGATCAAGATATCAAGCCCTCGAAGAAACGTTATTTAAATCCATATTCAAGACCGGCGGGGATCAAACTGAAGATTCGTCTCCAAAAGTCTCATATCTATTTGAAGATCGTTCTTGAAGAAATTAATCAGAGGAATAATAGAGATTTGTAATCCACTATATTTCTTTTGATCCGTTGGAAATCTATTTGTACGAATTTCTCGTGTTTATTAATTTAATAATACGAAATTTTGCGTTACAAATTTCTGGGACGCCCAGTGGGACCATCTCTACCTCTCATCTCTTTTCTTCAAGATATCTAAGTGCAACGATGACTCCTCCCAAGTCAACTTTTTCAAGTTCTGCAAGCGAAAGTGTTGGGGTCGTAACAAGAAGCATGGCAAAGAACAA